TGCTGGGTAGCTGAGGTGCCCCAATCCCCTCTTGGTCCTGCTCGGCCAGTGAGACGCTCTGCTYACACTTGGAGTTCGGCAGGGCACTTACTTGAGATGATATTGAAAGCCTTCATGAGACTGAACCACAGCACACTGAACACAGAAAACAGGCTCCCTTCTGAAATCCTACTTGGAACATCAACAAAGAGTCTGTGGGGTTTAGGAAGAAAACRGAAGCTAAAAGGCAGATGCAACAGCCGTATCTGACATGCAACCTCCAACCTGACCATGGCCGCAGGAGGCTGGTGGAGCCAGCGCGTGCAGGTGCCCTGGAGCCCTGGAAATGCTCAGGTGCATCTGAAGCCAGGGGTGCACTGAGCATAAGGAAGGGCTGCCCCTGAGTATCATGGAGAACTGCCACCTTCCCTGCCCTCCTGGGGCTGGGCAGTCAGTGGTGAATCACAGGAGCTCTGGACTGGGCATACCTGAGCATAGCAGAGGTGGTAATGAAGTGCCTGACTGACATCTATGCCTACATGTCATAGACTATATGAAAGATGGCACAGTTTCAATATATATATATATAGACACACACACACACACACACACACACACACACACACCAGTGATTGAACTTAGGGGCACTCAATCACTGAGCCACAACCCCAGCCCCATTTTGTATTTTATTTAGAGACAGGATCTCACTGAGTTGCTTAGCACCTCACGGTTGTTGAGGCTGAGATCTTCCTACCTCAGCCTCCCCAGCTGCTGGGATTACAGGTGTGCGCCACTGAGCCCAGCTCTCATTTCTTAAGCCACTATACCCAAATACTAAAACCAGACAAAAATGTTATAAGAATGAAAAGATCCATGGTAAATCATGAATATAAATGTAACAATCCTAAACAAAAAATAAATAAAATCCAATAGTGTCTAAAAAATGATAACTCCCTCTCAACAAACTTAGGTCTATATCAGGTATGCAAAGATGGTTTAATATTTTGAAAATCTATAGGTGCAATCTGGATAGAGCTGAATGATAAAATCATCTCAACAGATGCTAAATACCCGTTTGATAAAAATTATTTGAAAATTGTTGATAGATGGAAACATCATTAAGGAGAAACATTAAACATAAAACTAACATCATCCTAAGGGGGGAGAAATAGTAGAATTATTCCATTTAACATGAGAAATGAGCTAAGAATTCTATTTTAGTCAGCTGTAACCAAAACACTTGGCAAGAGCAACTTAGAGGAGGAAAAGTTTACTTGGAGCTCATTTTCTTTTTCAGAGGTTCAGCCCATAGATGGCCAATTCCATTGCTCTGGGCCCAAGGTGAAGCAGCACAGCATGGGGGAAGGGACCAGCAGACAGAGGCCGCTCAGTTACAGCCATCAGGAAGCAGAGAAAGCAAGAGGAATGGAGCCACATGGAAGCTGAACCCTTTCAAGGCAGTGACTCACCTTCTCCAGTCATGCCCAATGTGCCTACAGCAAGCACCCAGTAAGTCCATTCAAACCAGGGTGGACCAATGAAGTTACAGCTCCCCAAGTCCAATCATTTCACTTCTGACTATTCCTGCAACAATAGGAGCTTTGGGGAAGAATTCACATCCAAACCATAGCAGATTCCAAATACTACTGTTTCTAGTCCTTGCTGTATGGGAGTTCCTACCAAGAGCAAAAGAAACAAAGAAGTAAACAAATAAGGCTGCCATGATGCATGCACAGTGCTACTGTTTCCAAAGTCCAGACTTTACAGACAGCTTTATTAGGACTGACAGGAAAGCTGAGTAATAGGAGCAGGAACACAAAGTGGCTGGGCAGGGGGCTTCTGCAATGGTAGCTGTACTTCTGATGCCAGCAGCAAGTGATGCTTGCTGCGATATCAGAGAACAAGTGTCTAGGAATCAATACAAAAAAATATGCAGTCTTTCCAAATGAAAGTTATAAGACCTAAGAAATMTTWAAAAATATTTAAATAAATGGAGAGACAGACAATGTTTATGGATAGGAGAACTAAATATTGTGAAAATATAATCCTTCCTAAGTTGATCTTGGACTCAAAGATCTTAAGAAAGTATCTTGCTGAACTTAATTGGATAATTCAGAACTTATATGAAGGAATGAAAAAGCAGGATTAGGCACGTCCTTCTGAAGAAAAAGAATGTGGAGAGGAATTGGCCTGTCCAGATGCCAGGACTTATTCTGAAGCTATGGTGATTAAGAGCATAGTTTTAGTGCAGGAAAATAAGGGCAATGAGACGATGACCATATGAGGGAACAGGAGAGATTAGGCTTCTCTCCCATAGACAGCAACAGAWCAACTCCCCCTTGGTTATAGACTTTTAAAGTCAAGGCTTTAAAAGGTCTTGGTAGAAAATGTAGTGAATATCTACTGAATCTTAGGGTAGAAGAAAATTTCTTGTACAAGATATTGACAGCATTGCCTAGAAAATAAAATTTGGGTGTAATTAACGGTATTAAAATCAAGGATGGCTGGGTGTGGTGGCACATGCCTCCTATCTCAGCCTCAAACTCAGGAGGCTGAGGTAGGAGGAGCACAAGTTTCAGGCCAGCCTCAACAAATTAGTGAGACTCTGTCTCAAAATAAAAAGGACTGGGGATGCAGCTCAGTGGTAGAGCACTTCTGATTTAATCCCCAGCACTAAAAAAAAAAAAAAAAAATCAAGATTTTATGGTCATAAAACACACAATAAAGAAGTGAAAAACAAATCACAACTTGGGAAGTGACTTTTGGAAAGGAGAGTGTATTAAAGATTAGTGTGATGACTAAAGAACTTCCAGAAGTCAGTAAGAAAGCACAAAGAATACAACAGAACACCAGATGTAAGACCCAAGCAGATATTTCCCGGAAGAGAAAACAAAATGCRGCTAATAAATGCAGTGGTGTACATTGTAGAGCTAACCAATCAATAGCAATCTAAGAGCAGCTGGAGTGTCAAGTGTCGGAAGGGCCCGGTGCACAGGCTCTCTGGCATGCTGCTGGAAGAAGGGTCACTCGTGGTGACCTTGCTGGAAATGGCCTCAGCAAGCCCTTTCCTAGCAGGTTCAATCACAGGCCACACCAAAGAAAGGCCTACACATGGAGCAGGCCACAGACCTGGGGTACAGCAGTCGTACCCTCACAAGAGCAGCCCACACGCAGCATGGTGCCACCGTAGAGGAGCAGCTCCGCCAACAGTACTGTCCCTCGGCGAACCACACAGCAGTCACCCTGCACAGCAGGCAGCTCTTAAATCAGATGGTTACTCAAGATAAAAACTAAGAAGCTTAGCATTTTCTTTAGAGACAAATAGCAGAAGAAACAGCCAAGGAATTAAGTTACTACTTCTGGAGAAGGGAGAAAGTACCTGTGTGTATCCACACCTAAGTGTAAATGTATTGTGTCATACACGCACCACTCGTATGTACACTTGTAGATACGTGTGTGCACACGCTTGATTCTACAAACAGCTGCTGAGCGTTCAGGAGGGGCGGCTTCCAGATAAAGGCATTTTGGCACTTTGGGGACATCAGCAATAGCAGACATCTACGTACAGCATACARTACAGTCCAATCCCCCTTTCACAAAAAAGAGGGAAAACGAGGTGTGTCAAACAAAGGTGAAGCGGCCTGGGATGGACCTGCAGGTCTCCAGGTTCCTGGGCTGGACRCTCCCTGTCATGTCCCACCTGCAGAGGAGAGAGTTTCCCCAAGGCCTGGGGAAGCCTGAGGGCTCAGCTCTGCTGTGACACGTGGGACCATTCTCTATCAGTCTTGAGACTGGCTACACGCCCCAGTGAGGAAGATGCCTTTGCACCTTGAAGCTAGCTAGAGCTCCTGCCCGTGCATAATAGCCTGCAGGGCCTAGATAGCGCACACTGGAGTGAGCATGTCCACATTCTGGTTCTGCTGGGTTAGATGGCTCTCTGTGGACCAAGCCTAGCCTACTAACAGCCAGATGAATAAATAAATGCAGGCCAACATTAAGATGCCCAGTTCTGGCTTCACATGAAGCAGCCAGCGGAGATCTGTTGGCGGGATGAAGGCATGAACACTCTCATTTGCCTCCAGCTCTGGCTGCAGGTGGTAAATATATGTGGTGTTTACACAGGATACATTTGCCCAAAAGCAGACTAAGAGAAGCAGACACTGGGGGTGGGAGTCAGGGAACGCTGATGGGTCTTCAGTTTCTATCTTTCTTGGAAACATGTTCTAAGTGCTTGCATCCCTTGGGACATCTATCTGCATTTGGCATGATTTTGTTGACTGTCTACCTCTTTGTTAACCAGAGTAGACTATGGAGTGTCAGCATGAACTTCCACTTCGAGCATCTTAGAAATACAGAATCTCAGGCTCCACTAAGACCTAATGAATCAGAGATGTCCCCCTGACACAGCGCCTGAGGACTCGTGGAGGGAGCCAACCGGAGTTGGAGAGGCTATGCCCTACAGCCCCATGTCCTGCATAAAGCTATAATCTACAGGCACTTTATTTAGAATTAAAAGTTATGCAAGTTACCAGTCATATCCTGAAATAAATTATGATAAGCAGGTAAGGATGGCGTAACAGAGGAAAACCGCCTGGAGGACAGGCTGAGACGGTGATGAACTGCAGATGATCAAAGCGGGAGCTGCAGGTCTGTCACCAGTGCTGGCTGCTATCACAGGTACTGGGTGGTTCTGGGTACCTTGGGGCTGCCTTCTGGGGAATCTGGTGTTCTGCCATTTATTGTCTTAGGCATTTACCAGCATGCCTAGAGTGTGGCTTGACCCCACATCAGTCTGCAAGGTCAGCACTGTCTACAGGAGTGAAATAGCAAACTCTGACCTCCTGCCACTGGGCAATACACCATGAGGAGCCACATCAAGAGTACCGACCRGCAGCTGGGGAAGGTCTGTCTAGAACCAAGGATGCCAGCACTGTGGGAAACAGCCGCCCAGATGAGGGGCTTCTGCTGTCATGGAGCTGGGCGGAGACTGCGGTCTGGATGGACCCACCCAGGGCACTCACCGGGAGGAGAGGCTGGGCTTGCCGCTCCTGCTGCAGCTGGTGTAAATTCCTGGGCCGTCATCGAAGCAGCTTCCGAGYGCCAGCTTCTGTCTGATAGACTCTCTCTCATTTTTCTGTGCCTGAAATTTCAAGAGAATAAAAGATGTTGATGAGCAGGCAGAGGCATCCCGAGCTCAAGCAGCCCAGCRTGCCAAGCTTCTCAGAACTGTGTTGCTAGAGGAGTAAGGGGCAGGGCTGCGACTCAGAACATATGAATTACYGGAAGCTGAAACCAAACCTCTGGCTCCAGGCTCCACTCTTCAGAGCCCTTTGTGGTCGCAGCTGGGAAGCAGGACCCTGCTGCTAAGTGCCCTTCACTGGGACAGGGCTGAGCGCCTGGCTCTGTGACCTTTCTTCCCACCTGCTGGTGCAGGGCAAGCCGTGGAGATCAGCACGCTCTCCTAAATTCAGTCACTTGATCTCCTCCCTTCCTCCTATTCCCTTCAGCCCACATCTTCTAGGGCACAAGCATGGGTCAGCTCCTTGGCCAGTACCCACTGGCCTCATGAGCTGGTGATAGCCACAGCAAGGGGTAGCCCAGGCCAAGGCCAAGAAGCAAATGGTGCCCACCTACAGCATGCCCAGGTCCGGCTGGGGACCCTGGCCAKGTCTAGAGTGTGAGAAGCCCTAGAAGGAATGTGTGGGACAGCTGGAGACAAAGCGGCCAGTGTGCATGGGAGGAGCTGGTCAGTGCAGGGCTGTGACCTCTTTGATTTGTTTCTAGTATCAGCTTCCGTGTAAAACCTCACCTGGCCAACTTTCAACCCTTTAACAATGGGGAAGAAGAGTAGAAGTTGTTTCTTTAGTTTGAAAACTAGTGCGAAAGCAAACACAGTGTGGTAGAGACCCCAGGCCRGGGATGAGAAGGGGTTCTGTTCTGGGTGGGGATGGTGTCCTAAGCAGGAGCTCAAGGCTACCTGAGCAACTCCTATTAAAACATTCAGTAAGGGAGCCCRGAAGGTGAGACAGGGGGATGCTCGAGGGAGCCTGGAAAATGACTGGGTTCACCAAGGGAGATAGTCAGGCAGCCAGGGCACTGTCCCAGGTGGTCACTGGTCACACGTGGCCATCTGCATTTAAATCTAATGGTCAATCAATCACAATTAAATCCAGATCTTTAGTCAACATGGCCTCATTTCAAGAGCTCAGCGGTCATTGGAGCTGGTGGGCCTGATACTGGACATCACAGAAACACGACAGTGTGGTCCCTTGGGGACAGGGTTCCCAAGCTCCAGCTCCGACAGCTGGGCCATTCATCCTGCAGGCCTCTAATCCAGGTCCCCAGCTCTAGCTCCAAGGGTCAGTGGGCTTGAGGACTGGCTCAGAGAAGGCTCACCTCTCCTTTGCTTCTCTCCAGCACTATCCAGTCCTGGGCCCCAATGCATTGTGCTTAGCTGCCCTGCTTAGCATGCTCTGAACACTCATGGTTGGTGAGAATACCTGTGTGTGCAGACGGCCGCATAACCCAGGAGCGTTTGGGTGTGTGGAACTAGAGGGAATGGCTAATATACAGATTGTTCCCAAATGTGATACTGATTCACCTTGTTTGCTGAGAAGGATAGATCTGGGCCCTGGAAAGTGACCTAAGGATGCAAAGGGAAGCAAGATGCCTTCCATCCCAGTGGCCACTTGCCATTTACTGCTGGGAAACCTAGTTAAAGCAAAGCACCTTCTGAGCACATAGCGCTGGCCCTGGAGACGATGCTGCCCAAGAGAAACAACACAGCATCTTYGTCAAATACAAACTACCTTCAGTAGCCTATTTCTCAATATCTATAGCAAAGAGACCCTCACACCATGTCCTTACCATCAGGAAACTACAGAGCAGAGCTGAATACCCAAACACGTGAGATCAGGGGTAACCTGAGCAGAAGTCCACGTCACCATGCTAGGGGCCAACTCTGGCCCAGGCTGAGAGGCTTTGCTTCAGAGAGCATCTACCCATCTGTGCCTGTGTGTCTGTCTCTGTGGCTCACTTRGCCACTGAGCTACAGACACGGAGAGGCCCCAGTGCATTGTGCTTAGCTGCCTTTGAGCACTGATGACTTGGAGAGGACTGTTAAGCACTCTCTTTCCACCTCTCTCTGGATCCGACCAAACAAATCACATATGGAGAATATAAATGTGACCCATGATACTACCACTTAGAGACAGATTGTGGCTAACATTTTGGTATTTCCTCCGATGTTTTATCTTACGTGCTCATTTTTTCTACTTTATAAAGTTGAGATCACACTGTTGATTGTATCTGGAGGGTATCCCTGATACCACTTCATATTCTTTAAAAACACAGTTCTTAAGGACCACACTCACTCCCTGCTATGACGTCTCCTYCACAGCCAGCCATCTGAGCGTGTAGAATGAACAACAGTGGGAAAGCAAGTGGCTTCACACTGGTTCTTGACACATGCCTGGAGGCTTCACGGGGACAAGCCCTGGAAGTGACTTGTCAGGTTAGCTGCATGTGAGCATGTGAGGAGTCCATCAGGCTGCTCTGGAGAAAGGCTGCTCCATTCCGAAGGCCTGGTAGCGTGAGGGGCTGCCGGCCACACACGGGGCTCCCACCAAGCGCGTGGAGAATGCTGCTGCTTCTCATCTGATGGGCACAGGGAGGTGTGCTTTTTACTTCACTTTCCTGGATTCATTATCAACAGTAAATTCCTAAGTGTTTTACCTCCTCTACTTTCTTTTCTCTGAGTTACTTACTCCTGACTTTGCTTAGATTTCCACAAGGTCTGAGAGCATGAAGTCTTCTGTATTAAGGGTGCTTGTCCTTTGAGTTGACTGTCGGTGTTCTGTGGTCATGAGGATGGCTTGCCTCCTCCGTGACGTCACGGATGTCCTGTCAGTTACCAGTTAGTTACCAGTTACCAGACCTCACTGCACTGCAGGGCTGAGGAGGACCAGGAGCATCCGTGATGAGCTGCAGCAGTGGCAGCTTTGTGACTTGTCCCACAACTTCTGCTTTCAAGTTTCAGAGTCTGAGGATGGCGAAGGGTAGTGTCATGCTGGGCAGAAGGGGCAGAGTTCAAGTCCACACTTCCAGGTGCCACTTCTCTCTGCTCTTCAGCATCAAAGAGGAAGGTGTTCAGGCTAAGGAGGTGGGGCACACCACGCTGGAGAAGTTACATGAGACTCCAGAGGACATGATGCTTCCTCAGAGGAGGACTGAACACCAGACTGCTAAACATGGCCATGCACACAGCACAAGCCGCCCCCAACCACTACTGCCTGCTCTTTCTTTGGGGGCAAATGTGATCCCTGATGTTGCGAATAACTATGATCCAGTTGAACAGTAAAGTGCAGGTTTTTTTCTTCAGATTCAACAGGTGGAACCTCATCTTGCAGTTGCACGCGCATGGATGTGTGTGTTGTATGTGTGTGATCCTGTGTGTGGTTTCAAGACCCGTTGCTCTCTAGGGAACTACCCCTGCAGGGCAGTTCTGTCTTCTATCCCAAAGCCCAGAGGTGCTTCAGGGGAGGAATAGGTAGCCACAGGAAAAGGGAGAGACTGATTCAAAACAACAGTTTGGATGTACCCAGGGCAAGCACTGCCAAGTTCACTCCTAAAACAGCCTTCAGGAATAGCCACAAAAAAAACAACAGTGAAACACATAGATTGACAGGGCACCAGGCAGCCAAAAGGCACCCAAGGAATAGTGGCTCCTTACTGTGAGGCAAAATACCATGCAGGACCCAGGGAGAGTAAAAGTGCTAAGAAAGGGGGCCTTGTCCCCCACTGCGTTCTGTCCTTCCTCTCCCTGCTGCCACCTGTGCTGAGCAGAAAGCTCAAGGTGACCCTCAAGGGGGCCTGTAAGCCAGAGCTCAGGACAGACCAGAGGACAGAGACTCAGCCTTCCCAGGGCACTCCCTTCTACCACAGCTGCCCAAACCTGGGAAGAACACAGGGGTGTTTAGTAAAGAAATAATGGCAAAATGTTCGCTTGGGTAGATAACGTCCCCAAGCCCTTCCCCATGCTGTCTTCAGGGCACAGTGTGTGCCTATCCTTACCCACCAGCATCATCCTCTGTCCCTCCCAGGTCCCACTGATATGCATTGAAAGTGACAAATGGAAAAATGGGCATTTTCTGTACTTCCATGGCTTATTTGATATACGTGCTTTTGGGGGCGGGGGCACGTGGAGGTCTTCTAGGGTTCTCAGGAACACACTGCAAACTAATATCCTCAGCCCAAACCTAAAGCCACTAGGTGCTCAGGATACGAGCCACAGCACTTCCTGCTGAACCCTGCAAATAGGAAGCAGCTGGAAAAAGGCTGTTGCACCCAGAGCAAGGGCTCCTTAAACTCCAGAGAGTGGGCGCAGGAGAATCAGGGAGCTCGGGCAGAGCAGCCCTGGAATACAAGCTGACGTCATGTTTGGAGCAGGGATGGTCCAGGCCGGACCTGGGAGAAGGAAGTCCTCCCCCACCTCCTGTTTTCCACCGCTTCCCTGGTCCAGCTTCCTGCTCCCAGTCCATCTGCTCCCTGCTTCCGCCCGCTCACCATGGGAACGGAAGCCCTCCTTCTTATTGGATGCACTGTTTCATGAAGCTGCCTCTGTACTCGATTCACTGTGCGCCCCCACGCACGCACTTCCTGCCCGCTTTTCTGCACAGCTAAGTTGAACCCCAGTTCAGTGACTTCAAGGTGAGTATGAGCATCTCTCAAGGTGCAGAGTCCAGCTCAGAGTCTGGCTTAGTCTGACTAAACTCATATTAGTCAGGGGCATGCCTAATGTGAGTTTAGATAGAATCTTTGCAGGACCTCGTGTATGCACCACCACAGATCCGGGCATCTGCAGGGCATCCTGGAACTAACATCCCTGGATACCACCCCTGGCAGAAGGGACACTCATTAAGGAAGAGCTTCCTAAGGACAGTGGGTTGCACTGGCCCAGGAGCCACAAATACAGCAGTCCCCTATGGCCTGGAAAGGACCTTGGCGTCTGGGACTTCTGCCTTCAGGTAGAGAAGGGGACGCATACACGCCCAGGCCTTCTCCGCCACACTTTTCTTACAGCCTCAGTTCTCACACTTGACTGCACACCAATCATCAGAGGGCTCATAAAGCATAGGCATT